AAATAAATATTAATTATTTTATTAATTATCAATAATTTTTAATAATTAAATTAAAATAAAATTTTAACTTGATTTAATAAAATTAGTGTCCATCATAACCATAGCTGTTTCTGTTTGGTTAAATGTAAAACAGAGGACAACGATAATGCCAAAGCTACATCCTTTTTCCTTTTGAAAGTCTGCCTGATTAGAATGGCAGCCTTTGTGACTAGTGCTAGTGTCTAGCCTCCATCTGCATATTGATACAGGTAAAATATAATACAAGAGTGATAAATGCATGAAATAGAGTCAATTTTGAGTCTTGACATGTAATTGAATATCAAAGAATTAATTGAAGAATAAGTTAGGGATATAATTTTAGGCTGTAGGAGATTGCTTGGCCCTACATTTGAAGATCTTATCCAACTGGAATCATGTGAGTTTTAAGGGAATAATCTCAAAGTGGGGAACATATACAACAAATATTTGTTGTAAATGAAGGAAAGATGTGTTTTATATATGTTTAAATAAAGCTTTGCAATATCAACAACTTTTAATATAGGGTTGTGGATTTTAGTGTTGGCGTACCCCTAAAAAAGGGATAATGTATGAATGTCTATAAAATTAATTAAATACTATTAATAATTATTAAAGATATTTTAAAAAATTTAATGCATATTTTTATTCCTTTTTGGTTTTAGAGATCAACCAGAAAAACACTCATCTGTTTAATATTGGCTTAAAGATTCTTTTATGGTTTTTCTTTCTACACCTTTTCCTCTTTTGTTGCTGTATCCACCACATGCATGTTTAATTAAGAGATGGTCTTTTCTTCTTCTTCTTCTTTTTTTTCTAAAAAAAAGAAAAAGAAAAAGGAAGAAGACTGAAATATAGGAAAGAGATGGTTAAGAGAATGGGCAAAAGTGTGTCCTTAATCTAATCATCAAATCATTGATCATCAGTCAGAAGGTACATAGATATAATAGAATTAAAAGTTGTCTGGATAGTAAACAAAATTCAGATTCCAATAAAGGAAAAAATAAGTTTGGTTTAGAATAATTATATGAGACTGCCATTTTGTTTTTATTAAGGTGTTGATAATAGGAAACTCCAAGGAATTGTACATGGCCGAACTGTGAGTTCTCCTGTTTTGTCTCCTTGACATCATCAAATACAAAGGATGGCCTTGATTTACTTCCTATTTATAATAATTTATTGTTTTAATTATAAATTTATAACTATTTTTTAATACAAAAAGGGAGACAACAAATTAATTTTTGTTGAGTGGAAAATTTTTATATTGAGCATATAACAAAGAAATATATAAATTAAATATAAAGAGAATTATTATATTTATTATTAATTAGTTTTAATTTAAATATAAGTTTTATATTGAAACTTACATACACAATTTTTACGTACTATCAAAACTTAAAGTTCGATCTTTGAACCTAAAGCTATGTAAAGGGATGCTATTCTCTACTTATTGCCAATTGGTAATCTTATATTGAAATTTACATACACAATTTTTACATTTTTTTAATTAAATTTGAAGGTAGAGAATAATAATTTTTCATATGTTCTAAGTTTCCATTCTATTGATGAAGTTATTTTTCCTTGAAAATAAACAAAAAAAAAAAAGTAAAAGAATTTCCATTTGGGGAGTTTCGTTTATGCATAGGCCATGAATAATGAAATTCTATTAAAGGTCCAGCAATATTCAGATGGGCCCGGGCTAAAGCTATTTTGCATTGCCCACAAGTTGGAGCACTTTCGTGGCCTGGAAAACAAAGCCCGAGTCTTCAACCCCAATTAGTAGAATTCTGGGAAAAAAAAATGCACACCTAGTCCCAACTCCTAACATTTTTTTTTATTTTTTTATCAGCGAGTTCTACTAAAATTAAAATCCATTCTTCCTTGCTGCACTGAGCTGTGTAGAAAGGGATAATCCTCCTCACACAATTCAAAATTTGAACCTAAAACTTTTATGTTAGAGTCTCAAAATTTTAATTAATTGAATTATTTTTGAGGTATCTCACTAATAAGTTAATATTTATTATTTAAAAAATTAAAATTAACTTATAAATCAATATTTTTAGATATTATAATTAATTTTTTAAAAAAATTTAAATAAATAAAATATTAATCAAACTAAATATAAATACTATAATTTATGTAATCTTAATAAAATTTTCTGTAGTCATAACTTCAACCATTAGACGAGCCCTTATCAAGAACATTTCAGCATTCAAGATTGTTGTCATTCAAGATACAACCTGAACTCAAAAAGAAAAAAACGCTCTGACCTCTCTCTTCCTATGTCCGTTTCCCTCAACTCTTGTCCATCGACTCAGAAAGGTGACCTCCTGAGTAGATCAATCAAATGAATCAAAGACGATGATTATCCATCAATTGATGAGGATTATCAAATGATCAAAAATTCTTCCCAGCCTTTGTCATACAAAGACCTGGTTCTGCGTAACGAATTGATTGAAATCTGTTGCAACAGCTCAGCCAACCTGGATATTCTTGAAGAGGATTCAGATTGTGAGGATGACGGCTCAATTCCTACAATCCTCATTTCAAAAAGGGAGAAGAAAAGAATACGTTCACCATGGCTCAATTCCATTATCATTAAGGCTTTTGGAACTAAATTAGCGGGTTACAACTTCATATACCCAAGAATCAAAGCTCAATGAAAACCGAGAGGAAAGATGGATTGTATTGATTTTAGTGTTGATTTTTTCCTCATAAGATTCCAAGAAAGAGAGGATTTGCTAAGAGTTCTAAATGGGGGTCCATCGTTTGTGGGTCCTTACTACTTAACTATTCGACAATGGGAACCAGCTTTTGACCTGGATAAAGCGACATTCACTACCACAGCTATCTGGGCAAGATCACCCAGGCTACCAATTGAGTATTATGATGTGAAAATTCTTGAAAGAATTGGGAAATTATTGGGAAAGCCTTTGCAATTGGATGCTCATACAGCACATCAGACGAGAGGACAATTTGCCAGGATTTGTGTTCAAGTAGATCTTGATGAGTCGCTTGTCCCCTTTGTTAGGATTGGTAAGCATATCCAGAAAGTACTATATGAGGGTCCAGTAGCTCTTTGTTTCTCTTATGGATGTGTTGGCCACAAAGAGAACTCCTGCCCACTCAAATCATCGCAAGCCCCTGCTGTTATGGAAGAGGACTCCCCCAATTGTACCAAACCTGCCAACATGGATGTTAGGGATGATACTGTGATAGAGGAGTGTTAAGGATTTGGTCCATGGATGCTTGTTGATAGGAAGAAAAATAGGAGGAAGCTTAATGGAAAGGCACCTTGTTCTGGGAATTAACAGAGCAATCCAAACTCTTCACATGGAGGGAAATTGAGTAGCCAACTCACTGAGTTGTGAAGCGGGTTGAAGCGGAGTGATGAGATGGTCAATATGTTGGGGGACAACCCAATTAATGATCTTACTGTTGGCACTAATGAAACCATTGATACTAACGGACCAATAAATCATCCCCAAAATCAAGGACCCAAACTAAGTGCTAACCAAATTAGTTCAAATGTTACTACTTGTCCCATACTAACTCTATTCCTATTATGGCGCAGGATCCTCATGGATTGCCTTAGGATAGTGTAAAAGGAAAGGATATCTCTATTACTTGCTCCAAGGGCACACACAAGGAAGATAAGTCTAAAGAAATCTCTATTGGTGTTCATCCAAAAGATGTCAATAACCTATAATCTATGTCGCCCTCCACCATTGGAAGTTTGGGCAATGGATCCAAGGAACTTCGAGAAGCTGTGCCGACTGTGGGATATTTATCTAGTCAATGAAGAGAACAACATTTTGTCAATGGAGAAAGCATTGTCACTGCTTCTGCAAAGGGACTCAACACCAGTAGAAGGTTGGGATTGGGACACTATCGCCAGGAACTGGATTCGATCGGTTATGGTACAGAAAGGAGTTGATCCCACCCCTCATCTCCCACCCCTAATCGAATGGATTCCACTTCCTTTTCCACTAAAAGCCCCAGACATCTGTCTCACCTCAAGAGCAACATAAAGCTCGACAGGGGAGAAACTGGGGTAGGAGTTTTGGGAGGAGCAACTTTCACCTTAGATAGTGTGGGTTCCGAAGAGCAGCTGGTTTCTCAACAAGATGTCACTACTGGGAAGTATGAAGGTCTTCCACTTGATTATTTGACGGAAGGAGGTCTCATGTTGCATGAAAGCTTGCTACATTCAAACGGCTCTTCCGTTCTACTTCCAAGAAGTGAACATGTTGATTAAGAACAGATCAAGCGATTCAATCCGCTGGAATTAGGAGCTGGGCCGTTGGGTCATGAATTCCTTCAGTAACAGAGCATGGTCAATGAAAGTCCTTTCATGGAATTGTTGTGGAATGGCTAATGAGGAGTTCAAAAGGAATGTTAGAGAGATCATCCGAGAACACAATCCTGGACTTTTTGTCATCATGGAAACCAAACTCACTGGTGATAGGGCAGCAGAGGTGGCTTGAAGTCTGGGTTTTCCAAAGTGGGAGATAGTATATGCTAAACGCTACGTTGGGGGGATTTGGCTCCTTTGGGATGATTCTCGATTCTTGGTGAAGACCCTTAGCGAAGGTTCTCAGGTCATCCACACTCTTGTTAAGGTAATTTCTCATCCTTATTTTACTGATTTTGATTGGTTTTTATCTGCTATTTATGCTATACCTCAGTTTAATATTAGGTGCTTGCTTTGGGATAACCTAAGGGAATTTTATCAGACCATTAATGGCCCTTGGATGGCCATTGGTGACTTTAATGACATTATAGTCCAATTTGAGAAATTTGGGGGAAACCCATTCCCTTCTTATATAATGGTTAAATACCCTTTTTGGTCCCTCTACTATAGGAAAAAGCTCCTTTTTAGTCCCTATACCAAAAAAATCCCCTTTTTGATCCTTACTGTTCACAAATCCGGCCCCTTTTTGGTCCCTCCGTTAAATTTTGGCTTACGTGGCATGTTAACTAACGGAAAA